TTGTAGGCCCAACTGAATTGTAGCCAAATTCAAGGTGGAAATGGGCGATCCATCCAGATAGCAATCCAGAAGATTAGGACCCGAGAAGAACCTATAACCCGTTAGGTTTTATGAAAGTGTTACCAGGCGCCGCCTAAGGAACAACCATTGAATCATAATGGTGATCTGATGTTTTAGCTATGTACACATGAAACACACGCTTGAAAAAACTGCCTCGGTGTACCTGGAATATTAACCAGTATGGGAAATTAACAAAAAAAAAATGAGGATTCACTTATCCACCAACAGAAAGAGAAGGAAGCACGAAATGGGGGTTTCTTCTAGCAGTTAAAAAAATTTAAATGGGTTTTTAATTTAGAATTGACCACTATCTGGGAGTTTGTTTTTTTAGAAAGTTACAAAGCAAAAAAAAGAAAAAAAAAGAAAAAACGAGCAAGAAGATTACAAAGACAGAACGAAAGGGAAAGAGGGGAATTTGTAAAAGTTTCGGGTTCAACATTTTGAAAGCAATAAAAAGGAAACAATTTTTTCCCTTGATTCCACTCTCACATTCGCAAGGATATCAATCATTCACAAAAAGCCAGTAACATTCTCTCAAGAAAAAACAACGAAAAAACAACAAGCATTAAAAAGGAGGTATTTCATCTTATTTTGTTTATTTTTAGTAACTATTCATATGTGTGGTATTTATTTAGGAAGAAAATAAAGGTTAGAAGATTACCTATTTTAGTCACCTGGATTAAAACCGGAGCGTTGGGAATTGCTCAAGAAACCTTGTACATGAGTTAGGGGTTAATTTCTAGGTTGGGGTTTTTTAAAATAAAAAAGAGTGAAGGCTAGAGTGATGGCCCAAGAGAACTAACATGGTTGAATCCTATGGTGGCGCGAGTGAAGCCTTATGGTTATCACCGAGAGAAAGAGTAAGTTAGCCTGTTTGAGAAGGGGGAGAGAGTATGGCAGAGGAGAAGAGAATGGCCCTAAGAATGATTAGATTTAGTAGAAGCGGGGGTAGTTATAATGTTATATCTTAATTTAATATTTTTTGAAACGGTGTAGTTTAATTGGAGTCCATTGTATTTCATTTTTGTGTGATTGGGTTTATCTGGATTCCAATACTTGCAATTCTATTAAGTTGTATTTTAATCCCTTGGTATATTATTTTATTTGTTTGTTACTTTGCAATTTGTTTGTTTGTCTTTAACATTTGCTGCTTCAATCCTGCATGATATCGATAAATATATGAGCGTGATTATGCGTAATATGGTCCTTGTTTGATACATTTTGCTTCGCTGATAGGTACTCATATATTTAAAATACGTATTTTTCCAAGATATTATATCGGTTGTATATATATATATATATATATATATATATACACACTGTAAATATGTTTTAATCCTCTCCATAATATATTTTATGTGTGCCAAATATAACATGGTGAGCATTTTTTTTAAATTATTACACGCAAGCATTAAAAACATTTGTTATAAGTCATTCTAGGGGTAATTATAGCATGTATATATTGGCTTAACCAAATTTCAAATTTTATGGATCATTAACATGTTCATAATATATATATGTAAAATATAGTTGCAGTTGAGTGTTTATGTATCCTTTCGAATATATTAATTTAGGTTCCATCATTCATTCAAGTGTGTGATTTTTTTTATGTCACGTTGTATGATATTTTTAATTTTGTTTAATTAATTTTGGTATGACATTCTTTTTGCATAATTTGTATGGTAATCTCATTTGCATAACTCGATATATTACATAATTGGATTAAGGGTAATACACTTTTAATTTAAAATTATTTAAAGTGGGTTGTCATAACGCATTTGATATCCGCTTTTAATGATTTTAAAATAAAAGTGTATCCCATCAGTGACGCCTATAAATTGATCCATCACTTTAAAATTTGGGAATGGAAGAAAAAGAAATGTTCGGCTATTTAAATTTATCGAGAAAAGATTGTTATAGCTTTTAAGATCTGGTCTTGATATTTGTAAATAATCGAACATTCTTTATCTTTTTAAAACGACTCGATAATTTTAATCTAATTTATTTGAGTGCTTTTGAATGTTTTTAAATTTACATCTTTGTTTTATGAGATTAAAAGTCAAATTAAGTTCGAATTTGTAAAGTTAATTGCAAAGACGTTAATTAATCGACTAGGTACCGATTTAGGACATTGTGGGGGTGCTAATCCTTCCTCACACGTAACCGACTCTCGAACTCATTTTTTTGGTAACGCATATCTCAATTTGTTGTTTTAATTAAAATTAATTTTTATTTAAAATGAAAAAGCGTTTTTGGGTGCACAATCACAACCTAATCAAAGATTGGTGGCGACTCTTCGGACTGTATTTTTTTCGATCGTAAAGGAAATCCAAAATTTTTCGAAGCGAGAGGTCTTTTAAATCGTATTTGTTTTTAAATTAAAAAGAGGATAATTAAGAATTAATGTGATTTTTAAAATATCACATTTTCACCTTTAAAAAAATCGTTTCGACAATTCGATTGATTGACTCAACAATTTATGTGCTGAATCCATTGTTGGGCTCGTCATCCAAGCTTTCGTCTTCCTTGGCAGAAACGGGTTGATTTGCTTTAAGGCTCATCTCCTTTACTTCTCTTTTTCTCAATTAATTTCACTTTCCCCTAATTCATCATCTAAACCCTAATTTATCATTTCAAATACCTAATTCATCTCCCAAGATCATTACAAAATGTTTGTATTTCAACTCTAACAGGGTTCCGTAATGTTAATAATGAGGAAATTCATGTTTCTCGACAGTTGATATGTTGGTGGATTTTGAACTTATTAGATAATATGCTGTTTGTAATATCTTAATTTTGTCCTAAAACTAAAGAGGAAACAAAATACAGGGACCAAACTTATAATATTACCTATGTGTAATTTTGGGCTTTAAAAGCCAAAAATAAAGCAGATTTCAAGGCCCCCTTTTGTAAACCAGAAAGAAAGCAAATTAAAAAAAAGGGTTCTCTTCTTCATATCGTTGTCTTATTTGCTTGTCCTCTTCCTTTTTTCGCATAGCTAGGTGTAGGGGGCGATCGGGTTCCTCGTCGGAGCCTTGTCGGCCTTAGGGTGGTCGGTCTAGGAAGCTGAATGGTCGGGGAACATCTTCAAACCGGGGCTTTAGGTAAGGTTTAGGGGAAACATTTGGTTTTGGAACCCAACCACCGATAGTGGTGGTCGGGGAGTGAGGCCGCCTATTGTAGTCGTTAGGGGGGGTTCGGCCGAGAGTCTTTTGGTCGTTAGGAGTTTTGTATGTCTTTGTTAACGTGAGGCTTTGCGACTCACGACTGTCGAAACGATGGTTGTGGAGTTTGAGGGTTCACTATCGAAGGATGATAGAAAGGTTAGAGGAGATCGTTGTTTTGTTTCCGTCCGGGTCAGTCCAGGGCCATCTCCGGTCGAAGTTGTAAGATGTCGGAATATGATAGTCTCCAGCCCGGTGGCCGGCCTGAGAAAAGCCACCATTGGGCTGTGGTCGGGCCTAACTTGGCCTGGGAGAATCTCTGTTTGTGAGGCAGAAGGGATGAAAAAGCTTCATCTTGATTTTGGGTAAATTATTTCAAGGTCCCTAAACCTCTAATTTTTTTCTTACTTTTAGTCACCTATTAGTGGGTAAATCACCCACAGGTCCTCCTAGTTTCGGTGTGTTTCACAGTTTTGTCATTATCGAGGATAAATCACCTTTAGCCCCCTGTAATTTAGCCTCTTTTGTACTATGGTAAATAATTTCTTATTTATTTTGAATATGCATGCATATTTTACTAACTTTTAATTTGATCACAATTTTGCTATGTTATTTATTTTAAGCTAACTACTAACTTTTATTTTATTGCACTTTAACCATTGTTATTTATTTATTTATTGTTTCTAATATTCGATTCGACCTTGTGGTGACCCGATCTGGGGTATGATCCACATTATTATGGTTCGGACTCTGCTAACCACTAACTTTTTTTATATTTATTTTGTTAATTTGTTTAAATTATTCGATTCGACCCTGTGATCCCCAGATCCCGGGTATGATCCGTATTATTATAGTTCGGACTACGCTAACTGCTACATTTTCTAACATCTAACCTTTCTAACCGCTAATTACTAACTACTAACATTTTATTTTTATTGCATTTAATTTCTGCTATTTAACTTTATGCACTTTTAAATTTATGCATTTTTATTTTCTTTATTTAATTTCAGTACTTACATTTTATTTGCTTTAATGTCCTAATCATTTATTTATGTCTCTTTATTTTTCTGTACTTTAATTTTATTTTTTTAATTATTGTATTTTATTATCTTTTTATTTTACTTCTATAATTTAATTTTTGCATAGTTAGATTTTGTTTCCTTACATTTTACCATGTATGGATGTTATATATTTGTTCGTATTATTTATGTATGTATATATTCTTTGTTCTTGGGAATTGGTTTCCAAAGATTGTACAAAACGTTTGTTTCATTCATTTTTAATGTTTTTCTACTCTAATATTTTCAAGAACACTTATTTGTAGAATGAGTGTAGAAAGCATTGTTTGGTCGAAATAGTGCGACCTGATACGACATTCGAATGAAATGTGAACTTGAAATAAATCGAATTTATTTTACTAATTAATGTGTTTTTATTCTAATTCAAATGATGCAATTCGTGTTTTTTATATAGCAATTTATTTTATGTAAAATGTTGATATTCAATTTATATTTGATTTACGTTTTTTATAAATCGATGAGGGAATATTCTTTTTAGGCAATAAATATAAGAGATAACCTTCCCGTCGGAGGATGAGCAAATCTCAATATTTCATTTTCGAATTAAAGGATTTTCCGTAATAATTAATTCGAAACAAATTAATTAAACTTTAATAAATGTATCATATTCTAACTTCATATTTGATTTATACTTTCTACCATTTTGCGACAATATATAAGCGATTAAGTACCATTTTGCGACAATATATATAGCTTCATGTTCTTAGATACTGGATATGCATAAAATGTTTAATGTTGTAGAAGGAGCAGGTGAATGTGGGAAATCATCCCCTGATAGGGAAGCCTGGAAGTTAGCCCCATGTGCAACGGCTGCACAAGATACTAACGCTCCAGTTTCCAGCTGTTGCTGCCAACAAGTGAAGAAAATAGGCCAGAACCCGCCATGCCTATGCGCGGTCATGCTTTCCAACACGGCTAAGAATTCCGGAATCAAGCCCGAAATCGCCATCACCATTCCGAAACGCTGCAACATTGCTGATCGTCCTGTTGGTTACCGATGTGGTGGTATTCTTCTTTTTTCTCACTTTGCAATAGCATCATTTACAGATTCTCCAAGTATCGAGTCTCGTTTTCCTTAATTTGCATCACTCAAAACTGGTTTTTGCGTATTGCAGCTTACACTTTGCCATGAGTACGAAGACAGTCATGGTTCCCGATGTTGCTTGTGTGCTTACTCGTAGTTCTGAGTTTGCTGGAATTTGTGCTTTCCATTAACCAGTTCATGTAGCTTATGAATTTAACTTTTCAATCCAGTTATTTGAATGCTAAATAAAAGCATATTTTTAGTTCAATCCAGCTATTTGAATGCTAAATAAAAGCCTATTTTGGTTATCTTATAAATGACTTTAAACGGAGTTTAATTCAACTAAATGACTAAATTCCCTAAGTAATTGGATACGCGAGATTTAGATGATCACGTATTTGAATTCAGGTGGAAGTGTTGAATACGGATATGCATCTTAATATATATATTTATATTCATGCTCGGATATGCTTCGGACATTTGGAGAAAAAGGAAGAATGGGTTCAAGTCTGTGATCTTTCCATGTCTGTAATAAACTAAAGGCATAATATCAAAATTATCGCCCAATGTTTATCAAAATTTTAATTTTGACCCTTATGGTTTTTTTTTTGTTGAGAATTTTAGTCCCAACATTTCATTTTGGGACAAAAAGATCCCCAGTTGATGAAAGAATTAGTGAACGGTTAATGCTCTAAAAAAGGGGGTCTTTTACCCTAAAATGAAATATTAGGTACCAAAATGCTCTAAAAAAATAATAAGAGTCAAAGTAACTATTCAGTAAGGCTTTAAGGACTTTGTCTTAAAATAATATGTTGGGGTCAAAACGGTCCAAAAAATAGAGACCAAAACGACTATTTTAATAAATCATGGCGGTTAATTTTGCCATTATAACTAATCTAAAATGCTTTTAATCTTTTAAAGGGAAAATCAAGTGGACAAGAGAAAATATAATTTTATATTTAAATTTAGATTTATAGTACAAAGAAGTTGTAGAAAACAAACAGTCTGCTTTAATTTACATCAGATTACAAGAAAAAGAACCCAACATTCTTCCACAAAGTCCTATGCTTATGCTTCTACCGTAGCCAGGCTATATCTATCAGATTATTTTGCATAGTAATAATAATAAGATTCACGACGCAACCAGCCAATTTTCCTGCAAAACGAATCCATAAACATAGTTTCAATCACATAGATTCGAAGGAAATATGTAAAGAAAAGGGCAGTATATGATAGAATACATGAATGATATGCAAAATAAATCCATAAACATATTCTCAAAGTGGTAATGATATAAATGATAAAGGAGAGACATCATAATCATATTGCATATATATATATATGTACCTTAAAAGAGTATTGGACAGAAATTTTGGATTAAGATGTTAGTAATAAAGTGAGCCTGCAAAAACAAAGAAGAATGATTAAAGACACTGCAGTACTTTAATTTTTATGGAAAGAGAATAATTTTTTATTATCACCAAAAAAATCTAAAGCTTTTTCATACCCTTCCACCAATTTCCTCTTGAAGCACCATCACTAGAATCGTTTCCATCACGATCATCATGTCCCCCATCCAATTTGAACTGTCAATATAGATGAAAAGAAGACGAGACATCCCAGGTAATTTAGTATGCAGAGAAAGCAGGGTTTGTTTCTTACATGAGTATGCTGAAACTAAAAAAATCATATATTAGGAGAATTTCTGAAAGATCGTATCTTTATAATAGTGTTAAACATAGTAATATTCTATAGTGTAAGCTATGCTTACAGATGGGGGAGACTGGGTGGTATTGTTCCTTGGAGAATAATTTTCTTGGCCTCCATAGTAGATAGATGAGCTGAGATAGGAAGGTTCCACGGTTTCATCGTGATAAATGGAAGAACTTTTGTCTTTATTCCTTGTGCCACTGCTTTGTCCCTCGGTATAATCAGTGGTATGATCTGTGAAATGTGCAAGATTCATAGAAAGTTCTCTCATATCCGTGTTTCTCAAGCCATTACTTGCTTCAGAATCTAGCCTAATTATTGTTGTTAGAACTTCTTAGAGAATTCATTAGAGCAGAAAAAGGCAATGGGAAAGGCATCATCCTTTGAAGACAAAATTATGTGAGAAGGGATAAGAAACCTGGACTTCTAAATCTGCCATGATGGGCTAAACCCTGATTATTCCAAGACCCCCTAATTCCAGAGTGAGTGGAGTCCCTCCCAAGCACCTTAAATAAGAAACAGAATGAGATCATTGACCATGCACTGAAACTAGCTAGTATTGGAATGTATATATAAACTTATATCCCATATTCCTTCATTTTCATTAACAAAACACACTGTAAATTTAAAATATTCCAAGAAAGATGGACCAGTAACTCCACTAGCTAGCATTTATCCACCAAGTGACTATAGCCAAACACTCGATGTACTATATATAAAGCACCTCTTTGCATCTTTTACAGAATCGTTCACTTGAAATACACACACACACACACACACACACACACAAACTCTAAATAGCGTTAAACCAAATTTCTCCTATATATATATCAACTTCTTAATGACTTCCAATCAAAATATTAACTCCCAGCATCAAGTTTTCACACATTTGCAAGTAAATATTTGACTAAAGCGTAAAAGGAAATTTCATTTTGTTTCATTAGAACCAACAAAGTTGAATTATTTATGGATAGGAAATGAAGAGCAAAATGGGTTTATAAACAAGTTTTTTACCACTGATGGCGGAGGGAAAATTGCCCCAAAAAGCCCAGTTGAGGATGATGAAGAAGAGTTCTTTGGACCAAAGAGATGATCCAAAGACGATGAAGATGAAGAACCACTTACTTGCTTTTTGTTTTCCATGCCAGAAAAATGTAAAACTTTCTTTTCCTTTTTTGGGTTAATAAAAGAAATCTTTCTTTGTCAACCAACGAACAAAACTACTCTTATATGTATATATCTTAAAGCAAGAAACGATCCTCAAAGAAAGAGACCAAACAAAAAAAGAGGTGGCTGGCAATGTCAGGCCAGGGATAAGATTTTCTTTCTCTTTTTATCTTTCCTGAGAAAACAAAGCAAACAGATAAAAACTAAAGAAGATTGCAGCAGATGTAGGAGAAGAGGCTAAGCTAAGGAGAGCAAAGGAGAATGGAGAAAGCTGAGAGCACGTGAAGACTTTGCAGTGATGTAGGGATATGTTGTTTGTTGGCAAACCATCCGACTCTATTTATAAGTCCAAAATAGGGGTTGTCATTGTTTCTGCTTTCTTTTCCTTTTCCTTTTTTTTTTCTTTTTTTGGAATAGTGAAGATGAAACTTCTATCAGGATCAAGATGATGATAAAATCAAAGAGTTTTAGATTACAGAATTATATTTTATTTGTGTTATTTTTTTGTCCTTTCAGTTTTAATGCCTTAATTAATTCGGATCGATCTACATCGCATACCTAATTTTAGTAGGAGAGTCTTCCAGCAGAAATTTTCTGCATACACAATGACTCAAACTCGACTCATTGCTTAAACGATATCAAACTCATGACCATTTGAATTAACTCGTGTTAGTCTATGTTACTTTTTAAATTGATCAAAATATTATCAAACAATTCTTTTAACATATTTTTCTAATTCACAATTATATGATTCAAATTTTGAATATTATTCTAATATTTTTTATGTCTCATCTCCAAAAACTAACTAATAATCGTCCTCTATTTAAAATATATTAGTTTTATGTTTATATTAATTTATTCTAAAATAACTAATTATTATTAATAATAAAATAATTTTCATATGTTTTTTTTTTAAAAAATAATGAGATACATTATTTTCTTGATGCGTAGCAGTAATTTTTAACATAATCTTAATATAAATATTAACAAAGTATTGGTCTTATGGTAACACATTATAGTTTTAAGTTTTACTGAGTATAAAGGGTGAAAATGAAGAATGATAAAAAATATTAGTCAAATTAATATAGATTTTAATCATTTGATTAGCTTAATCAAAATAAATAAATTTTTCATCTTTTATACTTCGCAAAATTAATAAAAAAATATGAAACGATATTAAGGAGATAAAACATATTAAAACTTTAAAAAAAATTATTAAAAAGAAAATCATAAATATTAAATATAAAGAATAAAATAGCATAATTAATCTCCTTGATATAAATTATACTCTTTAGATAAAAGGGTATTTTATCTAAAGGCGAAAAAGCATCATATGTGAATTCATTAAATATTTATGTCATGTTTATTAAAAAAAATATTATTTCTAGTTTTTTAATTTTTAAAAACAAATGGCCATTTGGATGCATCGGCCAAAACAAAGTAGAAATCCAGCCCTTGTTTGCCATGTGTCTCCTCGGGTACCTTCTTGACACTTTGTTTTGGATTGTTGAATTTTTATGGAGAAGATTGTACGAGTGAGAAAATAACATATAGTTTCTAGATATGGTTTTCATTTGTTATATACACATACACATGTGACAACTTTTAGTTGTTTCTGAATACGAATAAAATTTTAAAATTATTAGATACAAATAATGATCAATAAATTTAAATATTTTAATATTGTATGGATATATTAAATTTTAGGGTAAACTAAGTATTTGGCCCTCCATCTTTTCATGTACTTTTGTTTTGGAATCCCAACTATTTCTTTAACAAAATGGTACCTAATATTACGTTTTGTTTTGATATCTATATGTTAATTTTGATAGTTAACTTAAAGGAGATGATGATATAACTTTATAATAATAACAATTTTAGTCCCCAAAACTTACATATTCTATAAATTTGATCATAGTTTAGAAGAATTCAATAAATATTTAATATTAAAATACCATATCAATTTAGTTCTCAATTTAATTTGAAATAATTTAATGATTCGATACACTTAACCCTCTAACAAGATGCTGTCACTTGTTAAAAATTGAGTCCAATTTGATGTAAATAGTGATCATAATGGTGTAGGTTAAGAAAAAGCTTTTAATGACTTTTGTGTGTTGTGGTAAGCCGAGCAGCATAAGTCACCTATGTGAGAATAAAATAGGGTCACTTCAAGGAGACTATTGGGCTTATTTCTCTCAAACTCTTGTAGAACCAAGCAGATGTCCATGGCTTTAAGGACATACCAACGATAACAAAATTCTTATCAAAGGGGTAGTTGTGTGAAGTATGTCATCGTTTACACAAACGGTAGAACAATTCAAGGACATTGTGTCTACTGTTTAGTCAGTAAAGTAAACATCCTGTCACAAGGGAAGGTTCAAAAGAGGAAACCTACCTATCCTATGCAACTATCGTTCGTAGAGGCTATCACCACATCGTACCAAAATATTTCTGATTAAATCATCAATTTCTTTCATGTGGGGGATTATTGGAAAAAGGGATAAATTACTTTGATGAATTTAATATTTATATTAAATTCAGAGTCTTTTTAAATATTATAAATTAAAAGATATTATTTAATTTGAATATTAGTAAGATAATTACTCTTTGAATATGTCAATTTAAACATGTATTTATTATCTTTTTAACTTTAAATATTAAAGATAATTATATACCTTTTGAATATTTCAAATTAAAATCATATTTGTTTAAGTTTAAATAATAAAAGGAGTGTATATCTGCTTAATATTTTAAATTTAAAAGATTTTATTATCTATCTAAATTTACATATTAAAAGAAATTTGGTTAGAGTAAAACTCTTTTGAAAATCCCCTATAAATAGTGAGCAAACTTGTTAGGTTTTTTACAACTCAGAATTCAAGAACTTTTCTATGTTGGAAAAATATTTTTTCTCCTTAGAAAATATTCTTCTTCCTCCTTAGTTTTTCCGGTTATAGTCGAATGCAAGGATAGTTCGTGATCTCTATTGCTCATGCTATTGTAGTTGATCATATAGTTGAAAGATACCGAGCACCAAGGAGTGGTCGAAAATCTGTCTTAAGGAAATTGTATAGCGACAGGCCTCAACTTAGTCTGATCAGAAGATCAAAAATAAAAAGAGTATTTTATCTTCCTTTTATTTTCCTTATTTTTTTATAGAATTTAATTTATTCTTTTATTTTCTCAGGTTTCGAATTTCGTCTCAGATTGTTACTCTGTTTAACATATTTTCGTTCCTCTAAAATTTTATAAATTTGCCCTTCTTTAAAATTTTGTAAACTCACCCACTAACATAAAATCATGTGTACGTCCCTGCAATTATATATTTATATTGTATTCATGTTATTTTCTGTTTTGACATGTTTTAATTATTTTTCATTTTGTGTCTGAATTTATTTCATATTTTTATTATTATATAATTCAATTTTAACTTTAAATTTACTTCAATTTTATATTACTTCATGTACAAAAACTTATTATAAGTAATACAAATAATAATTTTAAAATTTAATTTAAGTTCCCGAAACGTGGTGGTGGATGTTTTCTAATTAATTTGAAATGAATCCTACTTGTAATATTACAAGCTATACAATTATATAGCAGAAAAAAAGATAAATATCCCAAATTTAATTTGAGTTCCAAAAAAGGAAAGGTCATTTAGAAGTTGTTGGATAAAAAAGAGTTAAGAAGAAGACTCGTTGTTGATCATGAGTAAGGTCGATAAGGCTGAAGTTGATGCTTGGGGATATGCTTAGTTGCACAACAAATAGTTGACTCTTTGTGTTTTCAATTTATATATATATTATTAAGCTTTGAACAGAATCATTGAATTTGAAGATATCCAAATGTGGGGATACATACGAATTTAAAGATTCTTAAAAAGAATAAAATAAATTATAAAAAAATATATATAAATTTTAAAATTAATATTAGAAATTTTAAATTAAAAATTAAGATACACACGCACACACACCGTACGCCATGAAATGAAGATATTATGGCAATCTATCAATTCCACAAATCTTTGAAGAATCAAGGGACCGAATATATGTTGTTTGAGAAAAGATTGAGAAGGTCTTAGATTTTGGTTTATAACTAATAATCGTGTCTTATCTATGGATCAAGCATTTTTATATTCTAGACAATTTCATTAAAAGCTGGACATATATTCTATATAGAATGAATTGCGTGAATATCTTTTCTATTTATTTCATATCACTCAATAATTTTTTCTTTGAAGAATATTAAAGAATGCAATTACTTTTAATATTATTTACTAATTACTAAAGAATGCAAATATTAATTGACAACCAATTCCTCTAATAAGATTATAAATGTATGTTTGGTCATAGAAAATATAAGCTATTTTCATTTATGTTTTTTAAAAATAGAAAATGTTGAAGAAAATGTGTTTAACTGTAAAACTAAAAAATGATTTATGGAAAATGAAAGCAAAAATAAGTGAAAAAAATATGAAAATACAAAAAAAAAATACATTTTTAGAATTTTCATTAAAATTATTTTGGAGATTTAAAAACTATGTATTTGTAACTTAACATACACAAGTTCAAATCCTTTTAACAATAATTATTTTTTAACTTAATGGTACCTCAAACTTTTGCATTGAAAAATCAATATGATCTCTAAACTTTTTACATTCAATTTGGTTCCTAAACTAATTTTTCAATAATTTAATTTTATAGTATTTTTATATTTAATGTATTAAATACATTAATAATTGTTTATATTTTAAATTTAAATATTTTTTTTAATTTTCAAGAAAATTAATTAAGTCCTTAAACTTTCTAAAAAATCAATTAGGCCCTCGAACTTAGCTAAAAAATTAATTAAGCACATCTGCCATATCATCATTTATCATGTACTACAACAATAATATCGTAAACCATCAAATCAATATTTTAAATTATCATGTAAACTTTATGAATTCTCATGCAAGTGTCCTGATGGTTAAAATTTGATCTCATTAGAAAAAAGGACCTAAATTCTTTAAGTAAGACCAAAAGATCAAATTCAAATGTTTGCTAATAAAAAAACTTTGTGAAGGTCACCTTATATTGGACTTCTTACTATTCAATCTAAAATAATTAATTAATAAATCAAATAAAAATAAAAATATTAAATAATAATTCTACTTTAAAATATTAATTATTTGATTCAATTAATAAATGATTAATTACAGGTGAACCGTAATCACTCAAATATTGATATATTTTTTCAAAAAATTATAA